CCTCCAGCAAGATAAGGGATCTAAAAGACCATCACAGAATATGGGCCAAGATCATTCTGGGATGCATAAACCACAAGAAGCCTACCAGCTCTCCTGACTACATCAATATTGATCAGCAATTTCTGATCTACTTCATCTCCCAGAAGATTAAGGTGAATCTGGCTCATCTGTTGTTTAACCATCTAAGGACTAGTGTCAAGGAAACCAGAGAAGAGGAGCGCACAAAAAGGGACTGGATACCCCTAGGAAGGCTTATATCATATATTCTAACAGAGAATAAGCTGATTGATCATCTTACAGAAGCTCAGGAAATCAGCTCTTTGGAAGCTACTGTTGGGAAACAGCTGAATGCAAAGAATCTGAAGAAAATGAAGTTAATTGAGAACGTCAAGAAGGAACCCAGTGTCACTTCTTTTGCAGCAATCTCTAGTAGAAGAATCCCTCTGGATAACTTTCCATTGTTCTCAGAGATTGACTCTAAACCTGATGTAATAGTCAGATATCTGGATGCATGCAAGGCGGATGGTATAACACCAGATTTGAACATTCAGGATCTGCAGCAGAAGGCTCCAGAAGTTGTGCTGAAGAAAACCAAGAAAAGGAAAGCTGTAGCAGAAGGATCATCCCAGCGGACTCCTAAAAAGAGAGGTAATCCTTCTTCTGTAACTGTTTTAAACTCAATTTCTGTATCAACATCTATACCAATTCCCACTTAATCAGAAAAACCCACACCACAAACATTTGATGACATTGACATTGATTTTGACCCCTCAGAAACCTTAACTCTTAGAAGATCTCGCTCCCAACCTCCAAATCCAAATATTGAAGCAACCTAACAAGAACTTGCAAAAGTTCTATCTGATATAGAAACCTTTGACCAACATACTTCTGCTCCCATGCCAGAAAATCCAAACCCTGAAACCACCACAGAAGCACCACAACCAGATATTCGCCTCTCTCCACAACCAGAAATACCACTACATCCATCTCCTCAACCAGAAATTCACCCACCTTCTCCACAACCTGAACTATTTCAACCAGAAGTTCAAACTTCTGAGGCTCAACCTTCTAAATCTTGTGAACCAGAACCTCATAACGATCAATCAAACCAAACTGTTGATTCTGATACCATTCCCATTCCTGGAATCACTGAACCTCTGGCCATCCGTATGCCCCTAACCATCCTGGATATTCCCCAAATTCCCTCCTCACTAGAATCAACTCCACCAAACTCCCCAACCAGTCCAATAATAATTCCCGACTCTCCCACTCCCTCACTAAAGAACAATCCAGATGACAACATCAAAACTGTCATTGATTTAACGGTTTTTGAACGTCTTGCTGCCATAACCCACAAAACAGCTATTCCAAAACCAAAACCATCTGAACCCTCTCCATATGTTGGTACCAGCTTATTGATGTTTGAAACAGAAGTACAGAAGTGGATCACTTCTCTGAAGCAAGCTAGTCTTGAGCTGATTGATCCTGCTGCATCAGACTACCTTTGGGCAAGGTTCAGAAGATGGGTATGTTCTGAAACTCATAAGATGCAAGAACAGAGCTACGGACAAGTTCAACAGAAGTTCAGTAATCTACTGAAGGTAATTGAAGATCAAGTTCTGAGCCAGCTGCTCAAGGAAGAAGTTCTCCCTCTGGACAATGCTCCCTGGTCTGAACATCGTCCAACATACAAAGTTCAACCAGAGTCAGAAGATCTCAATCTGACTGATACTCCAGAGCAGATGATTCCGGCTGAAGAACTGGGTCAAAAAGAGGATATTGCAGAAAACTCTGAGAAGCATCTAGTTTCTGAAGATCCTCAAGCTTCCTCCCTTGACAAGCAGACTCTAGAAGACCTGAAAAGATATGATATGTTGATGAAGGAAAGAATGGATAAACAGGACAACAAAATTGATGAAATCACGAGCATGTTAACCCAGCAACAGGAAACCAACATCCAGATCAAGAGCATGTTGGAAGCTTTGTTCACGCGTCTACCTCCTCCCTCTTAGAATTTCCTCGTTTTTAAAACATATTTATCTGTAATATTCTTACATTGCTGCTGTTCTGAAACTTTCCGTTGATTCTGGTTTTTAATATAAATGCATTTTGGCTCTGATTATATGTTCTTTTTGATAACTGACAAAAAGGGGGAGAAAGAATAAGACATTTTTCAATAACGGATTACTGAGACATAAGTCTCAAACATTCTAATCCATTTAAATTTTTCTCTTCTGAAAAGCTTGAACAGGTACAAAACTCTGATGAAAGATACAGTAAGGTTCTGGTGCTCAAAGACTCATGGAATTAAAGGGAAGTAATCAACTCAGGGGGAGTTTCTCTTCTTAATTCTATACTTTTTATTCTTTATTTTTAATTGAAAAATCTGGTTTTTGTCATCATCAAAAAGGGGGAGATTGTTAGAACATAGTTTGATTCTACAACCCTTGATTAGAGTTTTGATGATAACAAAATATAAAGAATAAATAAATTCAAAGATATATATATAAAACATATATGCTTATTAAAATTATGTTTTGTATATACAGAAGTTCTGATGGAATCAGCATCAGAAGATCAGTAATATGTGCTACACGCTGAAGCTACCAGATTATACGCTGAAGCTTGATGACCAGAATCTGCGCATAAACAAATACACTCTGACTCTGATCAAATATCTTTACCAAGTCATCAACACTCTGAAGCGTTATCATAAGTTAAAGCAAAGAAGACTCTGAAGCGTTATTAATTATTCAAGACAGAATTAAATGCTAACGGCTCTCTTCAGACAAGATCTTCTTTAAAAGGAAAGTGCGTTATTGTCATTAAACTGGCTTTATAGACAACGTATATTTGCCTTGCCTATATAAACAAGTCTGCTTGAGAAAAGACGCACGCACGCACTCACATAATTTGCCAAGCTTTCAAAACCACGCTTATTCAAACGCTTTAGCAAATTCAGTTTATTCCAAGCTTAAGTTGTGTAATTATCACAGTTGTGATATATTGTTTTGTTAGAAAACGTTAACACATCCTTGTTCAATTATTTGTAAAAGATTTCCTTGAGATAAACCGGTTTGTGGTTATACTCAAGAAGACTTTAACAGTTGTTAAAGTAGCTGTTGTAATTCTTTGAAAATAGTGGATTAAGACCTCGTTGGAGAGAGGCGAAATCACCTTGACGGGTGGAATGGAGTAGTTTGAGATCAAACGAACCAGGATAAAAATACTGTGTTGTCAAAGCATTTGTTTTAAGTTTTACAATTCAACCCCCCTTCTTGTGTTTTTCACATCTTCACAAAGCTTATACTTCAAGACAATATTCATCCAAACCCTTTCAAAAACACTCAAATCTCCAAAATATAGTACAAATCATTCATAATACTTTACAGAGAAAAAAAATAGTCACCAAGCCTAACCAACTAAAACCCGGTCTCGATCATTCATAACTAGCTACCAATTAATAACCGGATTAAATAATATTTTTTTTCTACAACCTGCTATCCCCTCCATACCTCCTGTGCAGAAAAAGCCCGTTGTTGCCATTAGGCCATCAACAAGTGGATCATCAAGAGAGCTATCAGATGATGACGAAGCTGAAAAAGAAACATAATCTGTTGGATTGAGTGAACATTCAGTTCTCTCCGATAGCATTTTCACAAGCAACACTAATGGGCGCATATTGCAACGAAGCCGTTTCATTTCCACCGCGTTACGATGTCATAAACACGTTCATGATAACGTCCATGGCAACATCTTCATCGATTCTCTCAGTTTGAAGTTCATTAATACTGAACAGTTTCAGAAGCTTCGAGAATTGAAACAACTAGGTTTCACACACTTGGTGTATCCAGGTGCTGTCCATTCAAGTTTTGAGCATTCTCTTGGAAGTGTATTGTATTGATGGTCAATCTGTTGAAAAGCTTAATAGTTATCAAGGAATGGAGCTTGGTATTAATAGATTTGATATGCAAACAGTGAGACTTGCTGGACTATTACATGATGTAGGACACGGGCCAACATATATACATGCTAAAGGGCTTCATGACAAAACTATGGTATCTCACCTTCATTTTTAGCTTACTAACATTCTTATCCTCACCCATCAATGGACCTTGAAACCATGCCGAGACACCACTAGAGCTGCGATAACATATATTTGCAAACACATTCAACAACCATTAAAACAATCACAAAACATCAGGCCAGGATAACTCCAAACACATTGCCTTGCCTCTACTAAATCCATGGATCCATAAGCAACTGGCTTGGTACAATTCTAACCCATGCCTTGCTTTCAAACAAAAAAACAAACCTGCACTTAAATAGAAAGATGGAAAACAGAAAATCAATAACTTCTAACAATTAACATTTTAATAAACTTTCACAGCAGAAAATAAAATAACTAAGATTTTGAAGTTTTAGTTTAGTTTAGTTTTATAACTAACTTTTAGCATCTAAGGGGATATTCGACTAACTGTCTCTATCCAACAAACAACTGATTTTGGCGCCTATAACTAACTAAGCAGAATTTTTAACTAACTAACTTCCACCCAAACAATCTATAACTAACTTACCCAACTGCTTTAACCATAACAGAAAAACTAAGTTTCTGATTTTTATAACAAAATTTAAAACCTCTAACCATATCCTAAACTTCTAACAGAACCTATAACCAATCCCTAACTGTTTTCTAATCGATAACAACTCATTTTAAACAATTCCATAACAGAATTTTCTAACTGCATCCTAACAGTTTCTAACCAAATCCCATCTTCTAACCAACTCTACAAAAAATCTATATAACAGGGAGATTATCATTCAGTTTGGGATGGATGATTTATGATTCAACACAAAAAAAACTCACCTTCCAATTCTCTCTGAAATCGCATAATTATCAATATTGCTTCATCATCTTCTGAAATTTCTTTACAGTTCTTACTCTTCTCTGTAACCACCGCAAATTACTCCTCCAACCGAATTTCATCAACTTCATCTTCATGTTCTTTAAATCGCCCCTTCACCAGAATTACTCTACTCTTCATCACCCTCTTTCATCTTCAATTAGCTTGATATCACAACCTCGATGCTTCAATCATTATCAACTCTGCATCGCGTTTCTCACTGCAAAAACAAACGTAAAGTATCAATTCCCCACATCAGTCCAGATTCAAACATCATCACCGAGTTTTTCAACATTACAACTTTGTTCGAAATTGCAAGAACAGAAGAAGAATGGAATGGAGGATTTACCTGATTTGTAATTGGATTTCTGGTCACTGCAACACTGTCAAAAGCGTATCAAATGGAGACTGGTTGATTTTTTGTGAACTCTCTCTGTAGTCTCCATTCTTCACAGTTTCCACCCTCATCACTGAGCTTTGAGTCTCGTCTCTCTGAATTCATCTTCATCTCCTTCAATTATCATTCAATGATAACCACTTCTTCTCTGCAACTCTAACATCGCACAACCTTCTTCATCCCCCTCCGAATCCCATAACCTCCATCTCATACGCGAATTGTATTTTCTCGTCACTATATCTTTACTCTGAGAACTTGGAAGAGAGATTAAGAACCGGTTGCGGCTAAACAGTTTCACAGAGGAAAGACTCTTCAAATAGAAGAAGATGATTTTGCAAATGGTTCAAAGCGAGACAAAAATGATGCGGAAAGGGTTACGACGGTGGAATCTGGAGCAGAACGGACAGAGTAGTTTTGACAATGGTGTTTGAGCGTCACTAACCTAGATGAGGGAGAAGTCGTGAGAATGAGACGGTGGCGTGCATCGCCGTTAGAAGAGGAAGAGATCCGAGTTTCTCCAAGAACAGCGCCGTCGAAGCAAGAAAAAAAATACTGTAACCCTAATCACGGTCCCTTTTTTAATTTTCTTCTTCTTTTTGTTATATTTTTATTTTTTCTAGAAAGATGATAAAAAAAAATAATAAGTGGAATAAAAGAAAACAAGAGATTATTGATTATGGACATTGGGCCATAATATTTCCTAAGCCCGTTACAGCATTTTTGGAGAAGGCTGAAGTTCATGGACAAAAAGCTCATTGGAATGAACTTAGTTTGGGCTTAAGGGCTATTTCAGTTGCTTGCAGCATGCACCCTAATTCAGGCTTTGCACCTCCTGTTGCATTCATGTTCTATTTTCTTGTTAATTCATTTATTTCAATTTTTATTTTAGCAATTGTTTGTATGATTTGTTCATGATTTTGATTAACTTTCCACACGATAAAATGATGCAAAATAGTAGCTTTTTTTTTTAGTATTCTTTAGGACTTTTCTTTAGAATTTTATTAGAACCTTCTATTATTTCACGTTTAACAATCATTTTCATTGTCATTTTAGTCAAGATTGCGTGATAGTAATAATGCAACTTTTGTGATGGGAAATGCTTGGAGGTTAAGTATTTGATCACTCGCACGGGGCAGTTTCTGTAGAGTTTTCGTATCTTTTGCGTGGCTTTAAAGAGGCAACGGACCTCCTCCGTTCGGTATCGTCACAACTCTATTTTTTTTCTTCATTTCCATACTTTACCGCCATCCATATGCATGCTAACACCGGGTAGAATTCCTTTGAAATATATAATTTTATGTCTAGAAATAGGCTAGTATCCCCTTGACTTTTCTTTCCACTTTTTTTGCATATGCATTTAAAACAAAAACTTCTTTTTTACAAACTTCGAAATACTAAAAATTTACTGACGAGAATCACATCTTCGTTAAGTCTGTGAGACGATAAGCGGGTTTCTTCTCGACCTTATTGTTCTCTTATTCTAAGCTTTGGTGTGGTTCAAATCTCAAAGACTCATTTCATGAATAAGTAGAGAAGTGGCTAATATATCTCCCTTGAGATTAACTAGTTATTCTCTACAAGCAAAAACACCAACAAACACAAATTCTTTTTTGACTTCGGGCCTTTCTTTCAAAACCTTTTTCTAAAAGACAATATTAATTCATTTCTGTGCTGACACATAAATCTCCAAGGGTCGAGTTGCGGCAGAATGCGAAATTAATATCGTTCATTATCAAAACAAATAAGTTCAAACCCTTTTTGTGCGCCCAAGCACATTTTCTCCAAACTTTTTCAAAAGAACAAATTAATTCACTTCTGTGCTGACGCGTAAGTCTCCAAAGGTCGAGTTGCGGCAGAAGGCGAAATTAATATTGTTCATTAAAAAAATACAAACCAACAAAAACATATAAGCCGAACTACGGCTGCTCTGATTCCTTAAAAGGGATACGTAGGCATCGGGGTAGGGCCCGAGCGAGCACAATTTTATTTTCCCTACATTCTTTTCTCATTCCTTTTGCATGCATTCTCCCTTCAGTAGTATAGTAAACAATAAGCATAAATTAAACACACCCATAAGATAGACAACAAGAGTGGATACCATAGAGTACTACGAGCGTGTGGGGTGATAATACCTTCCCCTCGCGTAACAGACTCTCTTACCCTTATCTCTCGGTCGCGAGACCTTGATTTCATCCTTTTTCAGGTTCCCTCGATGTTTAACTTTCCCTTCCTGCGGGATAAAAGACGTTCGATGGCGACTTCATTATTTTGATGATTTTTAGCCGGTTGTTTCACTTACCCGGGGCACCGTGGCTTCATTTGTGAGGGCTTTATGTGTGTCATCTACATATATCATTAATAAAAGCATTGGAAGTTTCTTGCATTTCAAATTTTGCGCTCCTTGTTTTTCTTTTATGACATATTGCAAAACAACTATTTTACACACACTCACATATACAGGTCTACATCCACTCTGGATCTCACTGGTAACGACTCTGCTACTGCCAGTTATGACTTCGAAAGTCCTATCAACTTAGCCGAAGACGAAGGTGAAGATGATTACGAAGTGCCTGGTGAACTTGCTAGACTGCTACTCCAGGAAGAGAGGGCTATTCAGCCGCATGAAGATCCAGTGGAATCAGTAAATCTGGGTACAGAGATAGATAAGAAAGAGGTCAAGATCGGTGCAAATCTGGAGCCTAGTATTAAACAACGGCTGATTCAGATGCTGCGAGACTATGTTGAGATCTTTGCCTGGTCTTATGAAGATATGCCTGGGTTGGATACCGATATTGTGGTTCACCGATTGCCTACCAAGGAAGACTATCCTCCAGTGAAACAGAAAGTCCTCCGAATGCGCCCAGAGATGTCTGAGAAAATCAAGGCTGAAGTGATGAAGCAGTTTGACGCCGGTTTTCTAGCAGTTACTTCTTACCCACAGTGGGTGGCCAATGTAGTTCCAGTGCCGAAGAAGGATGGTAAGGTACGAATGTGTGTCGACTATAGGGATCTGAACAGGGCAAGTCCCAAGGATGATTTCCCTCTTCCTCATATCGACGTTCTGGTTGACAACACTACTCAGCATAAGGTTTTCTCCTTCATGGATGGTTTCTCCGGTTATAATAAAATTAAAATGGCTCCCGAAGACATGGAGAAGACAGCCTTTGTTACTCAGTGGGGTACCTTTTGCTACAAGGTCATGCCTTTCGGATTGAAGAATGCTGGGGCAACATATCAGCGCGCCATGGTCACTTTGTTCCATGACATGATCCATCATGAGATTGAAGTATACGTCGACGACATGATTGCAAGGTCCCAAACTGAGGAAGAACATCTTGACCACCTTCAGAAGTTATTTGACAGGTTGAAGTTGTACAAGCTGAGGTTAAACCCGAACAAGTGCACCTTCGGGGTGAAGTCTGGTAAGCTGCTGGGTTTCGTTGTAAGTGATAAAGGTATTCAAGTGGATCCTGCAAAGGTGAAGGCTATACAAGAGATGCCAGCTCCCCGAACAGAGAAAGAAGTCACAGGCTTTTTGGGACGTCTGAACTACATTGCCCGATTCATCTCACACCTGACTGCTACTTGTGAACCGATCTTCAAGCTACTGAAGAAAGATAAAGTGGTAAGATGGAACGATGAATGTCAGGCCGATTTCGAAAGGATCAAAGAATATCTCCAAGAGCCACCTATTCTGATGCCTCCAGTTGAAGGGAGACCTTTGATCTTATACCTGATAGTACTCGACAACTCAATGGGGTGTGTGCTAGGGTAGCATGACGAGTCTGGCCGAAAAGAGCATGCTATTTATTACCTTAGCAAAAAGTTTACCGACTACGAGACCCGATACTCGTTGCTTGAGAAAACTTGCCTCCCTTTGGCATGGGCTACTCGCTGGCTGAGATAGTATATGCTGACTCACACTACTCTATTGATATCAAAGATGGATCCTATCATGTATATCTTCGAGAAGCCTGCCTTATCTGGAAGAATAGCAAGATGGCAGATGATATTGACTGAGTATGACATCCAATACACGACTCAAAAGGCAATCAAGGGAAGTGTGTTAGAAGATCATTTGGCATATCAAGCAGTGGATGATTACCAGTCTATGAACTTTGAATTTCCGGATGAGAATATCATGATAGTGACTGACTGTGAGGAACCTGGACCGGATGAAGGACCTGAGGAAGGATCCCGATGGTCTATGTAATTTGATGGAGGTTCAAACTCTTTGGGCAATGGCATTGGCACCGTGATCATATCTCCTAGAGGCTCTCATACTCCGTTTACTGCCCGACTATGTTTCAACTGTACCAACAATATGGCAGAGTATGAAGCGTGCATCATGGGTCTTCGAGCAGCTATTGACCTAAGGATTAAGGTTCTAAGTGTTTTTGGAGATTCCACTCTCGTGATTAGTCAGATCAAAGGCGAGTGGGATACGAAACACCCAAATCTTATTCCTTACAAGGAGTATGTGTTGACATTGCTTCCCCATTTCGAGGAGATAACCTTTGAACACTTCCCTAGAGAGGAGAATCAGTTAGCGGACATGCTGGCTACGATGTATTCTATGTTCAAGGTCAGATGGGACAATGAGGCTCCCCAAATTACCATTGAAACGTTAGACGAACCTGCACATTGCTGTGACATTGATACTGAAGAGGTAGCAGATAAACCCTGGTTTCACGAGGTAAATAGGTATCTCGAGGCTCAGGAGTACCCCGAGGGTGCATCTGTTAATGACAAGAAGTTTCTGAGGAGGTTCGCGGCGAAGTTCTTCATCAACAATGGTATCCTTTACAAGCGCAACCATGATTCAACCTTACTGCGATGTGTGGATAAGAATGAAGCAGAAAGGATCATGGCAGATTTACATGAAGGTACTTTCGGAACTCATTCCAGTGGACACACCATGGCAAAGAAAATCCTACGAGAAGGATATTTTTGGTCCACAATG